TATAGTATCCGCAAATACTGATATGATCTGATAAGAAGTTTAAGGAAAAGAAAAATTTAATTATTTTTATTGAGAATTAACAGCGATTAACAACGAAATTTTATTAATTTTCCACATAAATGAAATTATTTTATTATTAATTCAATAATGCATATGGAAATATTTTAGAAATTGCGATATTAAAATAATTGTTAACTAATTGTTAACCTGTCCGAGTGATGCTGGCGACTCACTTATACTTCTATCGCCAAGAGAATCCTTGGCATATTTGTCCAATGCGACAAGCCAGTGGAGCGAGTTTAACCAGTAATGGTGAGAACTATTGAAAAAAAAAATGTTAACCTGGTAATTATCTGCTAGTTGACCCGATTACTATAAGCCATTTTTGGCTATTTTTAAAAATAATTTATTGTGGTCTTAATATTATACTTAATATTAATAATATAATATGGTAAATAAAATAAATCCCCTTCTTCATCCCTTGTGGTTGGTATAGTTCTTTCTCAACCTTGGTTCTTCTACCACAAATCTGTGGGCTTAAACGTTCTATGCAGTATTTTAGCTATTTTCTTATATCTCTTTTGAGACTATACCTAGTGTTATTCTTGGAGTCTAGTAGTGTCGCTTTTTTTTCTAGTTTAAGCGACATAGCTCACAGTGTTCCTACTGAAACTACTTTGGCCGGCCTGTATATAAATTATTTTATAAAGATTGAAAATTAAATTAATTGAATCATTTATTTATAAAAATTTAAAAAATAATTCGCTTCTTATTTGTTACTTTTTATTTATTTATTATTTATATCAGATTATTTCAAAATAATTTGAAATTTTATGAAATTATTAGATATTAGAATTTTTAAATTTATTATTTTTTACAAAAATATGCAAATATTTTTCAAAAAAAAAGCATTTTTACAGCATTTATTAATTATAATGAAATTAAATAAAATTTTTTATGTATTTATTAAATCGAGTGGTGCTTGCGAGACTCACTCTTTACAATTTTATTGGCTAAAGTAGGATTTTTCTGGATCAACTAAGCCAGATGAATGAGTCCAGTTAGTAATAATTAAAAAGGGAAGAAAAAAGACTTCGCACTTTTTACTAAGAAAGAAAAATTTAAATTATTTTGTTAATATGCGTGATAAACGAAATCTGAAATGATGCGTGTCGTCGTTAGTTCAATTTTTTCAGCAAAAATTTTCGCAATGGGTGGTAAATATGTATAAATGTGTATGTATTTAAATAAATTATCATTATTCTTTTCTCAGAGTTGATTGATTTTTTGATAAACGATGATGATAGATTGATAGATTGATAAAATGATAAATTGATAAATGGATATTTCTCGATCGCTTGAAAAGAACATAAGCGGATAAGGCCTTTATGAACAAAGAACGAAATCACGGATAAAAAAAAGAAAATTTGGTGTTGATAAATTTTTTTTATCCTAAATATGGTTAAATTAAGCAATAAAAGCAAATAACAAATAATATAATATAAAATATTTTCCAAATATTGATAAAACATTGATTATTGATAAAATATGGTAAAAATATAAAATAAGTAAAGATAAGATTAAAAAGGTGAAATTTATAATTTCACAAGGAATTTTTATCAATAATTTCTTATAGCAATTTTTAAAATTATAATTGCAAAGTTATAATTAATTAATTCTAATTATTATAGTATGAATAATAATTAAAAACTTTTTACTTTCATTTATTCATAGTAATATTAAAAGAAGAAAAAGTAAGACGGATATTTGCAGAATTATGAAATTCGGGCGGCGCGGATCACATCGGAATCATGTTTTACGACATTTTAAAATTTGGCATCGTAAAAATAGAATCATAGAATCCATTGAATATAGTTTTTTTTTGCTTACCCTCAGGCTATTTGGTTCCATTTTCTTTTAATTACATGAAAATGTTTTTTGATGAAGAAGAGGACTTCCTTTCTCTTCATTTATTTTTCACATTTTTCACTTATGTTTATTATCCGATTTTCTTTTTTACTAAAAGCTCTTAATTTCTGATTAGTGCTCTCGCTTGGCTGACTTAAACTCGTATCAGATAAAGTTTGACCAGAGAGGAAGGCGATATACATTCTCCGTAGTACCATCTAGGTTTTTGAACAGTAGATTTACTCTTATTATGAGTGTAACTTGTCAACCAAATCAATAATTTTTTATATAATAATGATTAATTACTAAATCGTTTTAATTTGTTTAATACTTCATTCGCCATTCTCTACAAAACGAATTCTACTTGTCTTCTTTTTTCATTTATTTTTTATAAATTTAATTTTAAATTTTATTTAATTTTATTTTATTTTGATTTATTTAATATTTATATTATATTTATATTATGGAAGGAAATTTTTTTAAAAAAAAATTGATCTATCGAATTTAAAAAATCAATTATTTTAAAATCTATCTATGATAAGATGATAAGATATGATAAGATGGAAATGAATAGATGGCAGTAACAATCCACCTGTTGTTGTTTTCATTTTTTTTTCATCTCCATATCTTTAGTACCTCCAATGTATTTTTAGAGTTTTCTACTTTACAACTAATATTGTTTATTGAAACGAGTAAATTCTCTTGATGCTATCGCCTTTTTATATTTATATTTTTATATTTATTTTTTATAAAATTTTTAATACTGAAATAACTACAAATACTGAATGAACGAACGAACTACTTACTACTCATAGACCTATAAATTATGAAGAATCTTATTGATTCTTAACTGAATATTATTATCACTACTTCATTTAACCCTATGTGATATGATATGATGAGGTTGGTGAATTTTTTTATATTCTTTCTTTATATGAAAAGTTTTAAAATTTTTATTGGCAGTGAATGGTTACTAAATATTTTATTTAAATATTTTATTTCATTTAAAAATGATAAAATTCCTTTTTTAATAATTTTATTAAAAATCGCTAAAAATAATTTTATTAAAAATTATTAAAAAAGAAAAATTTTAAAAATTTTAAGAAAATTCTTAAAAATTCATTCCAAAAAAAAAGAATTTTATCAAAAGAATTTCATGAAAAAAATGAAAAAATTTCATGAAAAAAAATTTATAAGTGAAAAAGAAAAAATAAATAAAATTTTTAATAAATGAAAAAATTATGAATTTTATTTTTTGGAAGAATTATCGATTCTGACTTATCTCTTCTTCACAATTTTTTATTTTTTATTCTTTTGCGAATTCATCATTCGTTCGGTCCGTTCGTTCATTCATTTATCCCGAATTTATTTTTCTAAAAATCATTTATCCTCAACGCTTTGTTTGTTTTTTTTTCTTTTAATTTTACCAGATTATCTTATCAGTTATCATATCATTCGTTTCATATCGATGATATGCAACTAAGCAAATATGTATGCATATATGCATTAATAACCACTTGTTATCTCATCTTATCAGTTCGAGCAATTTTCAATTTTTTCATGATTTTTTTTCTTTTTTAAATCGATTTAAATGAGCAAATGAGAAAAAATTGACGAGAAAATTCCTGTTAAATTATAGATGTTTTTGTGATAACACGTAGATAGATTGGTTGTAAAATGTAGAAATCACTATTACCATTATCAATAAATCGCCCTACCATAACGATTACAACACCATCCTCACCGTTAGCACCTTAGCGACAATATCATCATCACTAGATTATCATTATCACCACCACCATTATCACCACTATTGCCGTGATCACCATTAAATTTACGTTGGTTATGAGAAACAGTTAATCGGGTATTCGTTAACTTCGAATAGGAAATAGTTTAAAATTCTCAAAAACTTTATTAATCTAAAAATTTCTTGATATATATAACTTTTTTAATTAATTTTTTCAATTTTTCTTTTAAATATCGTTTTTTTTAAAGATTTTCCCTCAAAAATTGTTGAAATTGTTTTTTATCCGAAAATTTCATATTAAAAATTAATTGCAAAAATCGACTTCAATAAATTTAATATTGAAATGCATAAAATTTTTAATAAATTATGGATTTTTTTTTCAAATGAATTTATTAAGGAAAATTTTTTTAAGGAAAAAAAACAATAAAAAATTGTTGAAAAATTTTAGATTAGAAAAAATAAAAAAACGAAAAAGCAGAAAAAAAATTCCATATTATGAATGTTGATGGTTTTCAAATAAATAAATTGTCATTGCTATTTTTATTTCTTTCTCTTATCATTTATCATTTATCAGCTGTAAAATAAAAAAAAGAAAAAAGGAAGAAAATTTATTTATTGTGCATTGAGGGAAAAAATTCATATAAATAAATAATAAATGAAATTTTGATTAAGTAATAAATAAAATAATATCGATATTAATAATGATAATAATCATAACAATGGCAAAAATACTATTAATAAACAATGAAATATTAGTTTATGTTTTCATATTTTTTTCTATATTTTTATATATTTTTATTGGTATCTATATTTTTAATTTTTTATAGTATTTAAATATTTATAATTTTAAGTAATGCAATTTTATTCTTTCATGAATAAATTTTTTTTATTAAACAAATTTTGCAAAAATACTTTTTTCAACACTTTTATTTTTAATATTTAAAGAATAAATTAATTGAAAATGGATTTAAAAAAGCATTAATTATTAGCGATAATTAATAATTATTTAGGATAAAATAAAAATAAAATTACTCATTTTTTTTCGAAATTTTTATAATTTGCTTGTTTTTTTCTTTTTTTTTAAATTAAGGTAATGAGTAAAAGGACAAATGAATTCAATTTGCCCTAAGGGTGGATTAAAAGGAAGGAAAAAAGAAAAGATTTTCTTTTCGAAGATCAATTTTACGATCATTTTGTGCCCGCGTTTGCGCGATTCTCTATCGAGAAAAAATTTTTTTAATGAAAAAAAAAAAAATTATTTATTCGATTTTAAAAGAATTAGAATTAAGTGGAGGTTTTGTGAAAATTTTTCACGAAATTTCAATCATAAATAAATTTTCTAGGAATGTGCGAACCGATAATTACTGCATCGTTTGGTCTTGCGCCAACACCACCACTTGTTAGTGATCAGGTAAACTTCTTCTAATTATTACTCATTATTTGATTATTTTCTTGTTTTATTTGGTATCACGCTATCATTTTATCATTAGCTAACATTTTGTGCTTTTTTTTATCAGTTTATCACTTTTTGATGAAGTAAATTGAATAAATGAATCTCTTTTAATTAATCGCTTTTAAATATTCGTATCGCTAGTAGGTGTATAGCTTAGCTAACTGCTTTAGTACTTTTTTGTAAAATAGTGTCTTATAACGAAAACATGAAGTCAGTAATTTCGTTTATTCCGAGAAATTTTTTTTTTGAGATTAAGTGGAAAGGTCAAGTAGGGGTCAAATTTTCAATTTTTTAAAATTTAATAGCATAAATTTCAACTATGTAAATACATATAGTTGTTTATAATAAAAAATGTGAAAGTTATTTGCGTAAGATCTTAGTTTAAACAAATTTTTTCAAGGCGAAATTCGTGATTAGCGATAAATTTTTTCGAGTGTTTTTAGCGAGCTAATAGAATCCATTTTTTTTTTTTTTGTTGTTTACTTCAACAATTTTTATCGATTACAAATAATTTCGAATATAACAAATTATTTAGTAGTAGTAGTAATTTTAATAATATTTTTTTTCCTCACTATTTCTCGTCGAATTCGCTGCGCTGATTTGTCGAAGCATGGAGAATCATTTAGCGATTAGCGAAAATTTAAGTAGTGGGTTTTGGGTTTTTCAAAGATAGATTTTTTCCTGCATGGAGTAGAGAAAATCTTTGCTCATTGATGCTCACCGGAAATAAGGGTTAAAAATTCGCTGAGTTGAGCTGAGCTATTTCCAAAAATTTTGGTAAATAAATTTTGGTATGATTTTATTGATTTTAATAATAAAATATTTACTTTTCTCGTGGCAAAATTTTTTATTTTTTATATTTTCGATTTTTAAGAAAAAATTTTTTTTTACAATAAAAAAATTTCTTCTTGGAATTTCTTTTTGAAATGGAATAAATAAATTTAAAACAATAAAAATGTTATTTAAAAGATTAATAATGAATTCATTTGAATAATATAGTTTTTTTTTGAAAAATTTATTTAAATTCGAAAAGTAAGATTGGCTTTTTTTTTCTTGTGAAAGAACTTTTGTTTTTTTTTTTGATTCATCTTTGACCTGTTTTTTGATTCGTTTCTGATCTGTTTTTTTGGCATTAAAGATTGAGAAGAACAGGTTTTTTTTGTTTTAATTCACTTTTTTCAAGAACTTGTAAATGATTGGTTAAAATTAGGTCAAAAAGATTTTTGAATATTTCTTTTTTATTATTTAAACAATTTTTTATTATAAATTGGATTTTTATTGAAAAAGAAACTGAAAAAAGAAAACTTTATGAATTTCAGATCGTCAAATGTCCATTATGTTACGAGCCTTTTAAAGAACCGAAAGTTCTTGCATGCTTTCATAGTTATTGCAAAGGATGCTTGGAACGTCTTCTTGATAATAATTCAGCAGAGAAAATTATTTGTCCAGCCTGTCAAGTCGAAACTCAACTTTCGGTTCAATTTGGTAAATAACTTTTTATTTTTTTTTGATACATTTTTAATACATAGAATCACTAATGGACAATGGTATTACAAATGAATGCTCACTCCGATATCACTTTTTATTAACAGGTTTATTCACGTCAAGAAATAATATAACTGTATTTCAGGTATTGAAAGTTTACTTAGTGATTATGGTTTGGAAAATGTTCTATCGCGACAACTCTCAGAAGATAAGGGACTCATTTTTGGTTCACCAAGCTCAACATCTTCATCACCTCCATTGATCGATTCGCCATATGAGCAGGTTCGCATTATATTTTAAACTAATGCTACACTTTTTTTATCATTTAATGGATATTTTATGGCGATAATGGTGAATTTGTGAATTTCGAAGTTCTTTAATTGGCAGTAAATAAGTAATTTTATTGCAATTTTTTGTAAAAATTTCTTTTCAAAATATTTTATTGCTTTGCTTCTTTGTTAATAGCGCTTTTAATGTTAATCTTTTCCGAATCATTAAATTTTTTTTGTGAGTTTTTTAGAGTTTTCTGCTCCATTTAAATTTGTTTTCTAGAATTTCGAGAATCGTAAAAAATGTCATTGAATTTGTCAGTTTTCATCAGTTTTTTCCTCTAATTTTAATTTATTTAATACGATTTCTTTCAGAATGGAAATGCCACTTCAAGTTGTACAGGATGCAAAAGTGGCGAGCGTGCAAGTGCATTTTGTCAAGATTGCTCGCATTTTTTGTGCACAAATTGCACAATGGCTCATCAATATATGCATTGTTTCGATGGTCACCGTGTTGACCAGTTGTCGCATGGCTCGTCGCCTGTATTATCGGATAGAGGCTCAACATGCAAATGTATTCAGGTTATTTTTTAAATTTAATTTTAATTTTTAATTTAATTTTTAATTTTACAATTTTATTTATTAGCTTCTTTTTATTATATAAATATTATATAAATATTTTTTTAAATTCTTCCTTTAAAAAATTTTAACATTTTTTAACATAGTATTTGATTAAATGTATTCAGGTTTTTGATTGATTTTCATCATGAGGCACTTTTTTTTTAACTTTTGTCTCTTTATTTCGCTTACGCATCATCATCATTCGTGTTTTTATTCTAACTTGTTTACAGCATTCACAAACAATACGTTATTTCTGCTCAGCATGCAATTTGGCTATATGTCATGATTGTACTAAAACCGATCATGCTGGCCATCGCTTTGATTTAATTGATGATATTGCTGATAAAGAAATGTCTATAATGGATTCACTGGTTCGAGAAGCTCGTATCAAACAGGAAGAACTAGTGGACAAATATCAGGTCTAGATCTTCGGTTAAAGAGTATTTACCTCGTTTAGATGGTTCTAAAAAATCAAATTAATAATTTCTCTTCAATTTAGTATTATAATTTTAATTTTTAAAAATATTATATTATAATTAATATTATAACATTATTATAATTAATACTATAATATTATAATTTCAGGCTGTAGATGCTGCTCATATGCGACTCAACAATTCAATGGCAAAAGCGCAGCAAGGTATTGATGAAGCTGCACGAGCTTTAATTCGGGTAATAGAAGATTGTCGTAGACAACTAACGAAAGAACTTGATAATTTATATAGTGCAAAACAATTGCAGCTATCCGTCATTGATAAAAAAGTAGAAATTCATCATTTTTTTTGTTTTGATTTTAATGAAAGGTTTCTCCATTGAATCATTTCGGTTATTTCTAATAGTTTCATTTTTTACATCATTTTTTAAATTTATTAATTTATTTATTATTTGTCGTTTAAAAAAGAATAAAAAATTTGATGCGAATATTGAGGAAAAAAAATTTAATTTCTTTTTTTAATTTTATGAGTGATTTTTTAAGTTTATTTTTCATCAAATTTTATTACAACATAATTTCCATGGTAATTTTTCTTTTCTTTTTATTAATTTCTTTCAGGTTCAACAAATGACTGAAAAATTATCACAAACGATTGAATTTACTGAGCGCTTAATGAAATTTTCTTCACCAACCGAAGTTATGGTATTCAAACAATTATTACAATCACGTTTACATGTTTTTCTCAATTATAATGCCGATGCGAATAATATTTTGCAAACTCCATTCGAAGTAGAATTTCAACCAGGCAATAATAATACTTCACGGCAACAAATTATGGTTCTACTTGGTAATGAAATTTTGCGAAAATTTTCTCATCTTTGCAATTATTATTTCGAATTTTTTCTTGAAATTAATTTTTAATTTTTTTCTTTCAATTTGTAAAATTTTATTTCCCTAAATAATTAAGAATTTATGATTGATAAAGCTTGTAATTTAGTAATCAAGAATTTTTCAATTATTATAAAAATTTTAAGTAAACAGTAGTTAAATAATTAAAAAAGTGTAATGAGTAATGAAAGATTTAATCGATTCGGTTCAAATAAGTGACGAGAAGTGATTTTTTATTTTCAAATATATTTTTTCAAATGATAACAATCCATCTTCATAGTAGTTTTTTATCTTTCAAAAAAAATCATCACAATAATCGAAGTTCAAATTCATTGATAAATGAAAATATATATGAAAAAGCAAAAGCAAAAGAGAGATGGGGAAAGATGGGTGAATAGGGAATAAAAAAGGAAGAAGAAAATTATTTTTAACGGAATTAGTCTTATAGTTGTCGTTATTTTTTGAGCAATATTTGTAAATTTTTCGTCGAAGAAATATTTAAAAATTTTTGAAAACAGGAAAAACTAGAAAATTTTGTTTGCTGAAGTTTTTTTTGAGAGTTGAAAAAAATGTTTTTTGATCAGAAATTATAATTTATTTTTTTTAAATTTTCCAGAATTTGAAGAAGGGATTAGTTTCTTTGGTTTTTTATTTACGCTTGGAAGAGATAATTAGTTATATTGAACTATGGATAGCGTAATTTTTAATTTGATTCAATTTATTTAAAATGTATTCGAATTAATTACTCTCCTTTATTATAAAATGTAAACGAGCAGGAAATTTCTTTATATTTCTTTATAAAAATCAATTTTTGAGTGATTATTTTATAGTATAAAAATTACTGCGCATTTAGAAATTAGAAATGGAATAATTTATTTTATATGAAAATAATTTGCTTCGTATATGCATGATTTTTTTTTTTAAGGATCAGTGCGTACATCTGAATGGGCTTCAGGAGCTTTACAAATACCTGGTATGCCACCAGCACCTATTGGGCGACCATCAAATCAGGTGAATCGTTCGTCAGCTATTGGTGCGATTCCATCGATAACTCACTTTTCGGATTCGAATCTTCTTCAACAGAAGCATGATTTTGGTGGTTCGAATCAAAGTCTTGGTGCATTTGGTAATTTCGAGTCAACTTTAATTAATAATCAATATGAAAAATGGAGTATGGGTCTCGATGCATCTGCAGGAATGCAACTAACAGAATCACCCGAAATGGATGTCAATGATAGAGTAATTTTTAAAATCTTAAAAAAAGATTTGAAAAAAGCCTTTTCCTGATAGTGTAGCGATTTCTAGTTCGATTTGTCTGATTTATAACTGGGGCCATTAAAAAAATTTCTTGAAGTGAAACTTTTTCAAATTTAAGTTGAGCAATGCTCTGTATACACCACGAGCGCAAATTAAACGACAGAAAATGATTTATCATTGCAAATTCGGTGAATTCGGTGTCTTGGATGGGCAGGTTTCAATTTTTTTCCGTTTTTAGATTAAAGATTCTTAAAAATTGATTTAGCGAAGTAAAAAAAAAACACTTTTATGAAGATCTAAGGAGATAGCGACCAATCAAGGTAGTTGTGAAAATGTGTAAAAAAGATTTTTTGGTGTAACTGATAATAATCCTTAAATTCATCAGTATGAAAAAAATTGTTTTTTACTTTCCTAGTTTTTATCAGATCAGAATGTTTTTGAAACCGTGCTGCTCTTTGATAAAAAATTTATTGGAAAGATTCTCTTTTTTTTCATATTTTGTCTTTTATTTATGCCAGTTTTCTAAATCTTTTTTATATTTCAGTTTACTGAACCATCTGGAGTTGCAGTAAATGCACAGAATGATATTATAGTGGCGGATACGAATAATCACCGTATACAAGTTTTTGACAAAGAAGGTCGCTTTAAATTTCAATTCGGCGAATGTGGTAAGCGAGATGGACAACTACTTTATCCGAATCGGTAACCTTTAAATATCATTTTTCGCGATATAATTATATATTGTAGATTTCCACTTTTTCATAATTAAATTCGATGTCAATTTGAATTCATTCATTTATCATCTTATTTTATTTTAGTTATTTTAGTTTATTTATTTTCTAATCTTTAGTTATTTCTTTAAATTTTTTGACAATATATTTCAGTGTGGCAGTTAACCGTGCCACCGGTGATTTTATTGTCACAGAACGCTCACCAACTCATCAAATACAAATTTACAATCAATACGGACAATTTGTGCGTAAATTTGGCGCAAATATACTGCAACACCCACGAGGTGTTTGTGTAGATAGCAAGGGTCGAATAATTGTAGTTGAATGTAAGGTATGTCTATTTATTTATGAAGGCAAAGCTATATGGTTTTGGCAACGATTTCTTTTTCATTTAGGATTTTTCAATGGTTAATGGAATAGCTGACATGAAAGGAATATAGCATATGACATAGCTGACATATATATACATATACATATATATATATATATAAAATAATATTTACATAAATTGATGTTTATTTTGAATTAGCTGTTTACAGGAAGTAGAATAATCAAGGGATAATAGTACTATTAAGATTGTTTTGGATTTTAAAATTGGCTATTCTTATATTTTTGTTATTTTCAGGTTATGCGTGTAATTATTTTTGATTCGTTCGGAAATATTCTGCAAAAATTCAGCTGTTCGCGTTATCTCGAATTTCCGAATGGAGTATGTACGAATGACAAGCAGGAAATTCTTATTTCGGATAATCGCGCTCACTGTATCAAAGTAAATACTTCTTTTTTTAGCTTAATATTTCTAATTAATTTTAATAATTTTTTACATTATGTTATTGTGGTTGTTTAACCCTGTTAGTTACTATCAATAATGATTATTTTTGATTAATTTAGGTATTTAATTACGAAGGTCAATTTGTTCGACAGATTGGCGGTGAAGGAGTGACAAACTATCCGATTGGCGTTGGTATTAATTTAGCTGGTGATATTGTGGTTGCAGACAATCATAATAATTTCAACCTCACTGTTTTCAATCAAGTATTGTTTTATCTTAATTTTTCGAATGCTGAGAAAATTACAACAGTTTTTATACTAATAAAAATTTTATTCTCATTTTTTTTATTCTCTTAGTGAAGGCTTTCTCTGTTCAGGATGGCATAATGATCTCAGCATTGGAGAGTAAAGTTAAACATGCTCAATGCTTTGACGTTGCACTTGTTGAAGATGGATCGGTTGTTTTGGCTAGCAAGGATTATCGTTTATACCTATATCGTTATCAAACTAGCACTGCGTAATTAAAAGTGCTACACAGTTCAGATAGGAATCTCTTTTAGCGATCTTCCAATGGATGTCGGCATCATTTCGGGAATCATGTTTTCATTATTATTGTATTTATAATATTATGATATTATGAGGTTCCTTCACATTGTTTTATCGCAACGTTCTGAATGTTATGTGGAATATCCTGATGATTATCATCGAATAATGGTATTCACTGGTCGTTTTTGTTCAAAAGGAGGGTAATTGATATTCACAATTTTATCATAATTATTAGGCAATTTAGAGATCACATTGTAATTAAATGATAATAGATGATGATACAATGGCTAATAATGGATGTTCCCTCATCGCCAATATTTTCGTTGTCTTTTTTAGCTGTTCGATTTTATCAAATTTTGTTATGTTGAGCGATTTTTAGGCTTATCCATATGTAAATTGTTTTCCTTTGAAAAATTTTTTACGCAGGCGTTCCTTTTAGTTTGTCTTTTCTTTTTCTTCTCCATAGATTTGCTAGCCGACTTGTCTAATATTATTGTACTATTGTTTCCATTATTATTATTATAACACGTTTGGGCTCTTTTCTTCTCGACATGATTCTGTTTGGTTACGACTGATCTAAAATCATTTGAAAATTTGCTGAAAATTAAAACGGTGCAGATTTGCGCAGATTCGTTGCGCCATATGTACGATTTGATAATAATAATTTTTCATATCTGATTTTCAGTATTCGATCATCAACAACGATTCATTTTCACGCTAAATTGTCCTTTATCAGCCGCAATACCCAACATCAATCATTTTCTTGTAAATTTTTTTTTATTTGTTTGTTTGTTTATTTGTTTTTCTTTTTATCTTCCTGCCTTTGATTTAATGATAGAAAATAAGGATATATGAATGTTAAGAGTATATATGTTTAGTAAAGTTCTAGTGATAGCTGAATATTTTTGCACAATCAAGTTTTTGTCTTTCGTATTGTTTCTCGAAATTGCAGAGCTAATAATGAACGACCCGGTGTCGCTTCTTGATTTCTTGTTTTTTTTTTCTCTGATTTTTATTAAGGTTCTATTCGAAGCATTATATGTAGTTTTCCATCTATTGAAAATATTCTTAATTTTTTCTTTTTTTTTCTATTTCAATTACTATTATCATTATTATCATCACATTATCATTATCATTATTATTATTATTATTATTATTATTATTATTTTTATTATTATTATTAGTTTCGAGTTCAGTTTTTAAGGTAAGTTCATTGGAGGTCAGACGGTTTTTTCTTGTTTTGTTTTTCGCATTTTTCCTGGGTTTTTTCTCTTTTTTTTAATTGCACAAATCTTTGTATTTAATAGAATTATTATTCTTTTTTTTCCTCCTCTCTTCCCTCCTCAATCTATTATTCTATTCGATCTTATTTCGCTTAGAATGAATTCTTGATGGATTTTTTCAGGAAAAATTATTGCAACAAATTAAGAAAAAAAATTATGGATTATTATTTCTAATTCGAGATTTAAGGGATTTTATTTATAGCAAATTTTTTTAATAGTTAAGAATATGAAATATAATTGTTTTCTGCATAGACGACAGTCATTTATTCTAAAAATTTTTATTTATTTTAGTCTAATTCTAATTCGAGGAAAATTTTTTTTTTGAATATTTTTTGTGTATGTATATATTCATTCGGTTCGTTCGTCGTATTCCATTTCCCGCCGTTAAAGCATTTTCCTATATTTTTTCCTATATAAGCTTAATGTTGAATTTTTTTTTTCTTGCTTTATATTTTCCAAAGACTTTTTTTTCGTCCTTTTCAATAATTTTTTTACCTGTAAATATTTGTATTTTTTTATCGATTTTTCGATCTTTTTTTTATCAGTTATGGTGATTTTTATAAGTTTAGAATTTTTTTTATCAGTATACTTTGCATGTGTTTTGCTATTGTGCATATATATTATATATGGATGCGTGTTTAAAGCCATAGAGCATGTGAAATATAGATTATTGATGAAAATCTTTCCTCTCTCCATTTCTAAAAAATTTCTAAGTATTGAAAGAAGAAGCAAATGATAAGATATTGATAAGTAAGAAATGAATTGCACTACTGAAGAAAAATAATATTTCGGATTTCGTAAAATTACTAGGATGAAATTTTTTCAAGTGGAGATTGAGGGCTCGCATAGTTGTTCGACTTCGATGTTTGCTTCATTTGCTTTATCTATATCTAGCGGCTTTTTAGTACGCTAGTGCTTTCATTTAGAAATTCTGTAAGTCGTAATATTCGTAAGCTAATGATAATGATATTGATAATAATGATAATAGTAATATTAATAATAACAGCAATAATAATAATATTAATATTGATAATAAAGCAGCAAATGACGATTATAAAAAAATTAAAAAAATGATTGGCTAGGTGGGTTTTTTTTCTATACAATTCCCAATTTTTTAAATTTTTTTTAAGGCTGCCATCTTCCTAATTAAGTAGGATATGTCTCGTATATCTTTTTTTTCCCCCATCCTCTCCTTTCGTCGTTCGTTTTTTTTTCCCCATTATCAATAATAAGTTGTTCTCCGTCGTTCGGCGTTGGCAAAACAATTTTTTCAAAAAAAATTTTATTTTTCTTTTCATTAGGTGATGATGATTTTAAAAATAGCAAAATAAATATTTTTCAAATTATCAATGGGTGAGATTTAATTTTTTCTTTTTACAACTTATCACTTTAAAAATTACCTTATCAAATTTACCTAAAATTAAAATCAAAAGGCAGAAATTGTTAATAAATTTTATATGCTTTTTTTTGTGATGCTATATTATTATTCGTTGTTTTATTATTTCTTGTTATTTAATCGTTATTATATTTGTAGAAAATAACAAAAAAATTATCATAGGTTAAGTTTAGTGTGACAAGCAGTTTTTATTGTTTAGAATGCAATAATAATAATACAATAATAATGATAATAATAATGATAGTAACAATGATGATGAAAATAAACAATAACACTAATAATATTAATAATGATAATAATAGTGATAATATATTGTTTCGTTTTCAATTATTATTGATATATATTATCAGGTTTAAGAGATTCTAGTAAAAAAAAAAAATTCAAATTTTACCTCATTCAATCGAAAATGAATTCGGTTGTTTTTTTGTTTATTTTTTATTTTTATTAGCAAATTATATTAATTATGATGATTTAAAATCATAATTATTTGAGTGGATAGTTTGTAATTGTTTTTTTTTTTTGTTTTGTTGATTTTTTTTTTAAAATAGAAATAAATTAAAAATAATAATAAAATATTTATGATAAAAATTCTTGTTTTGATAATTATTATAAAAAAAAAAAAATATTAGAAGTGTGCCATTTCTAAATTTTTTTTATTTTTTTTAGATATAAAAAAATAGTAAATTTTTTAGTCGGTTAGTTGATGTTAAGTAGTACTTATTTACATATATATATATTTATATATATACAAATTGTAAGCATTGTGATCATTTAGGTGTTGTTCAACCAGGGACCCTGTCTTGAAGCCTAGGATAAGCAATGATTTTTATCTGGGGGTTTTTTTCGGATTGGTGCTGGCTAGAATTCGAATTCCTTGCCTTGCATATCAAAAACTATGGCTATTTCCTATATAAATATAAATGTATATATATATATATATATATATATGTAGTTGAGATAAAATTTTTTTGTTAATAATGATCTTCTCGAGTTGTGTTTTTTCTTTCTCCCTAATGGTTTTCTTTTTTTTATTATATATTTTAAGGAAGGGATTTCTCCTTCCTGAAATTTAAAAAAAAAAAAAAACTATTAGTACGAAGGGACCTCGAAATAATTTGTTTTTTTTTTCTCCTTATTGTTGTTGAATTTTGGCCCTTTTTTTTTAAAGCAAAAAAAAAAAATCGCTTCAGGTAATTATTTAAATTTTACATGTATATTTAAAATATATACCTCCATATTTACGCTTTTTTTTTATTGCCAAAAAATATTTGAAAAAAAAAGTTTTTATCAAAAAAATGAAAAAAGTTTGTGTAATGTATACGTATAATTTTTGATACCTCAGATTCAATGCACTCCTTTCTCTTCCTTCTTTTTTTTTTCTTTCCTTCCCTCCTTCCTTTTTTTTTTATTGCCAAGAGGGATTCCTCATTTTTCCGCTTTTTTCATTTATTTTTATTCATTTCTTTTTTTAGAACATAGAAATTTTTTTCAATTACATTACTGTCCACTCAAAAATACCCGTCGACGTCTTTCATCGTCATCATTTTTTGTTTTCCTTTTTTTTTCCAAACAGATTTTTTATAATAATTGAAAAAATTTTTGCAAAAAAGGTTCGCTTTCATCATTATTATTACTATTATTTTTCATTATTATTGTTTTATTATTATTATTAATATTATTATTATTAATATTACTATTGTTGTCATTATTATTATTGCGATTATGGTAGTTTTCAATAAATCTTTGTATTTATGCAAGAAAAAAATTGTTCTTTTTATAAAATAAAATCATATAGAAATAAATAAAAACAAACAAACATAATGAAATAAATAAAGAAGAGAAATTAAAAATAGGTTTGAAAATTTTTAATATTTATTGAATTTCGAGTGTATGGCTAAATTGTCAAGCCATGTTGGCTGATATGTCGAAATATTACTCTGGATTGGTACAATTAGGAAAGATTTTGAACGTCTAAAGGAACCAGCGATGTACACAGATTTAGACGATGGAAAAGGAATGGCTTCTATTACTATTTAATTACTATTAGCGATGGCGTCGGACCGAGCAGCTTGGACGCATTCAGCCTAAGCATTAGTGGTGAGAGAAGAAGAAAAGAACCATACGGAGATATGGCTGTGGTTTCTATGTTCTTTTTGCTATAGGACCAATAGTCCTACCAAATTTCTATTTTTGATTAAATAAAGAAATAAGCGAAAATAAAAGAAGGAAAATTTTTAAATAAATGATATTCATCGGTAAAAATTGGCTTTTAAATAGGATAGATTACCAATATGACAAATGTGAATAGAATTCGCTCAGTGGTCCGTTGCTCAATTAGGAGCGCCGATGCTGAGGTTCTACTCCCCGCAGGAGTAAGCCTATCCAAAAATCCAGGTGATGTTGGCGGCTCAACTGTTCTTCTATCACCAAAGGATTCTCTGCCCAGTGCGATTAGCGAGCGGAGCGCTTCAATGGTGTGGTCTCTTAAAAAAAATGAAAAATGTGATATGATAAAGGCGATTATTGAATATCGTCCAACGCAGAAGGAAATATTGCTGGATCGTTGGCTCATTAGCCCTACTGGCTATCATTGGCTATTTCTTATTGGCTATTAGAATAAAACCTATTCACCAGAGGGTTATTATACCTCATCATTGCTGGTTACGGCTAACTGTAAGGATTTCACAACGATAGCAGCGATAGTAATAGAAGCCATTTCTCTCACCATCGTCTATGTCCACCTAAAAATTCAAAATCTTTTCTGACTTCATTAGTCCAACCAGGTCTTTGCAGTTGCAATAGTCAAAAATACTATCAGAGATATAAGGCTAAATAAAATATTATAAGATTATGTGCTTGAGCCTATTATATTATTATCCTAACAATTGGTTACCAATAATTGCAAAACACAATAAAACTCTCTCCAGTGGAACCTTTCACCGTAACACCGTTTCTTAGGCTTATTGAAGGCGGCAGAAACAAACTAAACGGCCGTCTCTCATCACTCCTCGTATTGTATTATCGTAATTTCGTCTATTGCTAATCGGTTGTTCATGATTATTGAATTCGGCGGCGCTAGCATATCACATTGGCCTCAGCCTTGAGGCCAAATTTTCCAAGTGACCTAAATTTGCTATGATGAGAAAAATCCGAAAATTTTTCTAGCCAAATTTTCACTAAATTGGAGAAAATCAGAAAATTTAATGGAATTGACTTTTGAAAATTATAGTGCTGCAAAACTTTTACATCATCCGAAAGCGATTGTCGGATTTTTAGTCGTTGAGAATGCGATAGCAGTTTTATTCAATTTTATTTTATGGAGATGAATTCGATGCTGAGGTGAGGTGCGGGGTCAAATTAGGTCTCATGTTTGGTTTGCTATGCGTGGATAATTTTATGTTTGCTGTATTGGCGGATTTTTAGCTTCTTTTGACGAGTATGGTGATTACTTTTAATTTGTAATAATTTCAATTTTTTTTTTAGATATTATTTTGTTATTCTAAAATTTCGATTTATTATTCGCTAATTATTTCATATTTCGTTTATTCGCTTTTTTTTTCTTTCGTATTTTGTTTTTAATATTTTATTTCTGTTCATTTGTCTCATTTCAGAAATATTTATTGGAAATTTCTGGATAAGTGATTTTTTTTTTCGAATTCATACACGCAAATTTTGCATGAATTATGTATCGTCTTAAAAGCGTTCTTGAGATTCCATTAAAGGACAGCGTTGAAAATGTTGGTTTTTCACTATTATATATTTTAACTTTTATTTTTTCGCCACATAAATGTTTTAATATTTATATATTTTAATATATTTGTTTTTTTATTTTTCCTTTTTTAAAATATTTTTTATAACTGTTTGCATAATTTTATATAATTTGTAATTATTCTGACGTATATAATTAGTAATAATTATAATTGTGGCAATCGAATTCACCTAATCTATTTTCAACAAATATTACTGTTTTGAAATATTTTTGGGGTGTTTTTTTAATGTAAACCCTTGCCTTATGTGCTTTTTTTACTTTTCTAATTCATATAATAATTTGAAAATAAATTATAAAATTAATATGAATTAAATATGAAAATAATCTAGTTGATGAAGTTAATTTTTTCATAAATAGCTCATAGAAATGCTTTTTTATGTGTTCCAGGGATAAAAAATGGAAAATGAAAAAATTTAGAAGTTTACAGGAATTTCATCAATGAGAGTTTTTTTTTTGTTAGGCTGCTACCCGTCAAGTGAACGACTTCTGTATTGATATTTGGAATTTAACACAGCGCTGGGAGGAATTGAATCGACAAAGTGTTGAAATCGTCGAACGGCTTGTCAATAACCGTCTTCGATTAGCTTATTCGAGAAATGAAATTAATTTTGAGAATTTAATGGAATATTCTTATGAAGACGACAATAGTTTACTGTTAAATTCACCTACAAGTATTGTTGAATTTGGTAATGGTAATCGAAAATTTTCAGCGGATGAAAGGGATTTAATTATTGAATCGGTAATTGTTGATTCGAATAAATTAGTTGCGATAATTGAAGAAAATTTCTCTAAAATTTTGGAAAAGTTGCGAACAGCAGAGCGGAGATTACAGAGTACAAAGGAGCATTTGATTCTCTCTTCGCCGCATGATTCTTCTTCCACCGAAGAATACAGAAAATTGGATGAAATGAAAGAAATACTTCCTGCTCTCATAAATATGTATAATGATGAGTTTATGATTAAACGTGCATCGATGAAAGATCTTGCTATATGTCATGAGCGTAATTTATTAATGACAATAGTTGCAACATGGCTTCATCAACCATTTTTGGAACGTTACTATTTAAGTCGATTATATGCATTAACTATCACTTTTAAAAGATATAATAGGGAGAGTTCCTCAGCGAATAGTTCATTTCGTGCATAACATTTTTTGTAATATGGATCATCAGTTTTAAATATACTTGAGAATTCTAAGAAAAATTCACCGATTTATTATGATAGATATGAAGATTTTTGTGAAAGAATTTTTTTTAAAGATTTATGTTATTGTTGGTATTGTTGCAGTGCAGTGGTGATCAAATCCTCTGTTTGGTCCGTTAGAATCCTTAGTGGTTTCCGGGAAGTGCGTGGAAGCTTATGAATTTCTCCATCTAAGGCAAATAGGCTTAATCTGAAGGAAAGCGAAAATAATATGGAAGTTCTATGAAACTAAAAAGGGAAATATTAAGGATGCGTGAACGTTTTGTAGCATTATTTGGAGCGTTCTCCGAAAAAAAAAGAGTTTGACGGCCACTGTTAGATTTAATATTATGGTGTATTTGTATTTTCGTTTTTTTTTCCACTTCCATCATGTTTCTAATTTTAATCATATCATTATTAACTCTATTATAGTAAAATATTTGAATTATTGAATAATTAAATGGTGAATTCCACAACTTCTGTTAATTTTTATGCATTTTTTAAAAATATTTTTTGCATAATAATAGTACTTATTTCTTATTTTGATGTTTTTTTTTGATTCACTTATATTGAATGGAAAAATTTGAATGGAAAAAAATTTTAACTGAAGTTTTTCATACCAATTTTCTAGTTAAAAAAAAATTATTTTGTATATTTTGTATGTTTACATATTTGATTTGTAGTCTATTTGCATAACAGCTAGATGTGGTAAAAAAATATTCAATAAAAAATTATTTCTCTTAATTTCTCTTAATTTTATTTTCATTTCTCAGCATAATTACAAAATATTATGTAAGCAGATATAAATATATTTTGTAAAATGCAAAATGGTTTTTTAGGAGATAATAGAATTGGACTTGGACAGTCTTCCAGATGATGGAGAAGAAGTTTTGTCGATTCTTAGAGGCGAGAATGCTGCCCTCCACTTCTGGGTCGATATCGCTGTATGTCGTATTATCAGTATTAAAAATATTTCTATAAAATTAGTCTTTATTCTTGTAATGCGCAGCCACTATTTCTCGTTTGGCTAGTTTTAGATTTCTTTGATTTTTTTTCTTTTTTTTCAGTAAGTGGAGGGGTGATACTATTTCGTTTAAAAATTACTGGGAAATAGAGGTATAAGAGGGTTCTACAGTTATGCTCATTTAATAAACATTGTAGTTGTTGATAATTCATGGAACATTTGGTTTCCGTTTCTTATTTTTTGTAGGATTTTTTTTAGTTAGCTTACTATCGACGTGGTAATGAAGTGGATTTTGTTCGAATTTTGGAAGCAAGTGGATCTGAGGCGAGCCTTGATTATCCTGATTATCCACGAGATCAAATGCATGCTCTGGATACCCTTGCTGCATATTATGTTATCCAGGTTGGCAATGCTTTAAACCAAACTGTAATTTCATTTGGTATGCTTAGGGCAGAAATTTTTTTCAGAGTCATAAGGAGAAAAATAAGGATAAAAAGAAAGAATGGCAAACAAAAGCAACTCTTCTTTACACAACGGCAGACAAAATTATTATGTACGACACTTATCACTTGCTTGGTCGTGCGTATTTTTGTCTCCTTGAGGGAAAAATTGAGCAAGCTGAACAACAGTTTAATTTCGTCTTGAATCAGGTTTGTTGTTTTCATCATAAATTTCTATTTGAGTTGAGCTAGTTATAATTATAAATTATTTTATTAAATCCTATGGCAGGTTGGAGAAAATATTCCCGCAACATTGGGAAAGGCTTGCATTTTTTTTCAAAAGAAGGAATATCGGAAAGCTTTGAATTGCTACAAAAGTGTTTTACGCAAAAAACATGACTGTCCTGCTTCAATTCGACTTGGGATTGGTTATTGTTTATCGAAATTAGGCCGAATTGATAAAGCAAGGTTTTTATATAAAATTTAGCTTAATTTTTTTCAAAATTTTTTTTCAATTTTATCGTGAGGCTTTTTTTCATTCAAAACTATTTTTTAGATTAGCTTTTGAGCGAGTTCTTGAATTAGACTCTGATAACGCATCAGCATTGGTCGCTCTTGCGATTCTTGATATGAATACTTTGGAAAGTGATGGAATACAGAAAGGAGTAAATTCACTTGGCAAAGCTTATCAGTTAGAAAATGAAAATCCCGTTGTGTTAAATCATCTCGCTAACCACTTTTTCTTTAAAAAAGTAAAATTTTTCGCGACATTGGTTAATTTTATATATTAATCTGCGCAGGATTGACTTAAAACAAATTCCAGGATTTGGACCGAGTTGAGCATCTAGCATGGCATGCTTTTCAATTAACCGAAAATGAAGCTATGCGAGCGGAAAGTTGTTACCAACTTGCTCGCAGTTTTCATTTACGTGGAAATTATGAAAAAGCTTTTCAAGTGGGCTTTTAATTTGTTCGTTGAACAATGAGTTTGAAATAAGATAATTTTACATAGGTAATTTTGATTTTTACATAAATTGGGTACATATTTTTGATTTAGTTTTAAAAAAATTAAAAAAATTTGAATGAAAAGGGAACAGAGAATCGATTTAATCCTGGTCATTTGCCGATTAATTTGCCGTTGACATGCATTTTTTTTTGCAGCATTATTATCAAGCAACACAGTTTGCTAGTTCAAATTTCGTTTTACCATATTTCGGTTTGGGTCAGATGTATATTCATCGCGAGGATTATGATAATGTGATTTTGCAATTTTTTTAAGTTATCAATTTCATATTATGAATTGCGACATTAAGATTTGGATTGTCGTAAATCTAAATATGAATATCCAGGATTTTTTCAGGCAATTTCATGTTTTGAAAAGGTTCTCAAATTGTACCCTACGAATTATGATACTTTAAAAATGCTTGGCTCGTTATATGCTCATTCTGAACCAGCCAATCAAAAAGAGCGAAATGAACGACGCGATAAAGCAAGATCGATTTTGAAAAAAGTCATGGAAATGTGTCCTGATGATGTTGAAGCATTGATTGATTGGGCACAATTAGTTGAGAATATCGATCCACAGGTTATTGTTATTGTTGTTGTTATTGTTATATTTTTTTCCTTAATGCTTTTTTTGAGGTTTTTTTTAGAGAGAGAGCTGTTATATTATATGAAAATTTTCTTACAAATTTTTCTCTATTCTTATTTATTTTTAAACTCTTCTTTTGATTTATTGCCTGGAATATAATATTATATATCAGTTTTTTTACTAAAATACTTTTAGAGATCGTTAGACGCTTATATTAAAGCCTCTAATATCCTACAACAAACTCTTGGTGTGGATGTTCCTCCAGAAATAACCAATAATATTGCTTGTTTATACTTTTTAATGGGCAAATATGAGGCAGCAAAAGTAAGAAGTCGATTTTAGATAGCTTTCGAAATTGTTTGGAGAAAAAATTTTTTTAATAAATAAATGATATTTTTTATATGAAATTTTGTTTATTTGTTATATTTTCATTTCTTTTATTTTATTTTAGAAGCATTTTGAAGAAGCAGCTGAAAAATTGACCGCAGAGGCGGCTGACCATAATGAATTCAAATCGATTAATACAACTATTACGTATAATAGAGCTCGATGCCTTGAAATGTTATGCTATTTCGAGGAAGCAGAACGTCTTTACAAAAATATTTTACACGAAAAGCCAAATTACATCGATTGTTAGCTTTTCTTCTTTCGTTTTTTTTGCAAAAATTCGAAGAATATAGAAGGAAAAGGCTTTTTAACTATCAAGTGAAAAAAATGAAGCTTTTTTAATTTTTGAAACATTAATAAATTTATTGAACTTATTAAATTTTCTGTAAATTTAATTGGATTTAGGCTACATGAGATTGGGATGTCTTGCGCGTGATAAAGGTCAAATTTATGAGTCCTCTGTTTGGTTTAAGGTATTTTACATTTGCATTCTTTGCCCATATATATATCACCATATAACTAACTCTTTACAGTTTTTATAAATATCATTTTTCTCTTGTGAGATTTTTTTTTTTTAGGAGGCAGATTAAATTATGAAAAAATTTAAGGAAGGTATCAGTGTGAATCAAACACATGCTGATGCTTGGTCCCTTATGGGAAATTTACATTTGTCCAAAAATGAATGGGCCCCTGCTCAGAAAAAATTCGAATACATATTGAAACTAAATGAACATCATGATGATCCATATAGTTTCGTGGCATTAGGTAATATATGGCTTGAATCTTTATCATCACCGATGCGAAGGAAAGAAAAGGTTCTTTTGAAACTTTCATTTCAAAGGTTCATTTCAAATGCGAAAATGCATTTGGATTTTCGAATTTTTTCAATTTTTGATAGGAAAATTTTTTTCTTAGGACAAGGACCATCGAGAACGCGCTTTATTGATGTATAGCAAAGCTTTGAAAATTCATCCAAAGAATATCTGGGCGGCAAACGGCATTGGTTTGTTATTTTTTTGTTATTATTTTTCAATACTTATCCTTAATTTCTATTCTTCAAGCAGAAAATTTGGCGAGAAATTTACGAAATATGTTGGTCAACATCATCTTTCAAATGCTTTGAAATATTTTTATTAATTTTTATCCTTTTATCCAGTCGATCATTTGCACAGGTTGCATACTCGCCCAGAAAGGAGCCATTCAAGAAGCCCGCGATATTTTTGCGCAAGTTCGCGAAGCAACTGCTGATTTCCGTGATGTTTGGATAAATATTGCTCATGTTTATATGGAACAAAAGCAATATGTCGCGGCAATTCAAATGTACAAAAATTGTGTGAAAAAATTCAGGAGGCATAGCGATGCCACACTGCTTCAGTATTTAGCTCGAGCTTACTACAAGGCAGGCAAACTAATTGAATGTCGGCAAATACTTGAAAAGGTAATTAAATAAAATTTGATCATAAATTAGTCCCTTAATTGACCTAGAAGTTCGATATAATTTATTAATTGACCTAGAAGTTCGATATAATTTATTAATTGACCTAGAAGTTCGATATAATTTAAAATATTTCATTGAATTTAAATAATAATTAGTCCTAAACTTAATCTGAGAATATTAATTATTAATATATAATTTTTTTCGAAGAACACCTACCATTACTGGTCAGAATTGCTGCATTGGCTTCTTGTTGAACCAGTCACATAGCGGTAGAAAAACAGTCACATAGGTACCATTTCACCAAGATCACTGAGATTTTTAAAAGATAGATAGATTTGCTGTAGAGAATGGAAAACTCAGTATTGGCGCTGTGAAATAGTAAGAACAGGGATCCACCGTTTTACTCCGCTATTATTAATTATTATGATATAATTGCGATGTTTTATTAACTGCATACAATTACTAATGTTACCTACTAATAATACAGTTCTCAGTCTTAGATTAGTTCATTTAAGAAATTTTAAGAATTTAAGAAATGTTAGATACATTTGAAAAATTATTGAAGGCGTTAAAAAGATGTTAGAAAAATTTTAAAATTATAACTAATGCTGTAAGAAGGTTTAAAAAATTTGAAAATATAATTGAAACGTTGAAACAATTAGAAAAATAACAAATACAAGAGAACAAAGCTATTTGGAATGTTAGAAAAATTAAAAAATATAATTATAAAAATGTAATTTAAGAAATAACTAGAGCAAGTCAGTTTGTCTCCCATATATCTCAAAAAGATGATAGAATAAATTTGATATTTGTTGAGGAATTAGTTTATTGGATATATATAGGAATTTTCGCTCCTTACTTGAAATATAGTGCCTTCGTATAATAGTTGGATAATTGAATAAGAGTAATGGAATATCTTTTCAAATATCACCTAGTCCAATTTTATCTAGCTGTTTTTACTAATTTTGTTGGTTATCAAAATTATTTTCAAATCACGGACGGATGCTCTTGTATCATCGTGGCAATATTCCAGAGAAAAATGTCCAGCGTTTTAGTAAATCGGAGGAAAATTTATGAAAAAAAATTGGAAAATTTGTCATTTTGAAAAAAGGATTTAGCCAGCTCTGTATTGTCTCTAATAATAAATATTCAACAAAGCGGAGATTATATTTCTAGTCGACAACTGTGCAAACCAGTCTCAGAATAGCCTGACGATTAATGAATTAAACGTTGTTTTTCTTATAATGGACTGTATAACTATTGCGAAAATATAACTCATGAAAATAGGTTTTCAAATTAATGTAAATAAGGAAACTTGCTTTCACTAGATCCATTAAAATGTTTTTACAAATCCATAAATGGCTGGAAAAGTGCCAACTTTCAAAGATTTTAGATTCATAGATTTTCATCTAATGGCCAGTAAAAGATCAAAGATGAAATTGCACTTGGTTTTACATATTAAAAATGCTTTTTTTTCATCTGGAGAAAATTTTAATTTTACCCTTTCGTTGAAATTCAGCCTGAAACGCCATTTGCAGCCATTTATTTATGTATTATATTCCTTAGTGGCAGCACCAGTGTGCCCTAACCCCTTACTTTTAAATTGCATTTGATCCATTGTTTCTTTGTGAAAAATGGGCCATGGGAGTGGAAGATATCATGAAGTCATCTGCCTTTATTTTCGTTTCATTCCATTACATTCTGTGGATTTCTGATCATATGCTTTCATTCCACCTTTGTTCGCATACCACAAACGTCGATTATAATTAGAGCATATTTCGCTTTTCATCACAGGAATTGGTGCATATCTCACAATATGCAAAATGTTGCGATGAAATAAATGACCCTTTAAAGAAGGTTTTAAATCAGATTTTGTGTGAACGATCGAGAAAGCTTGTATGCTTAAACGACGAATTTATAGGGTTAGGTGGTGAAAATATGAAGGAAAATGAATTCAGTCATAACATTGAAAAAAAAGATAGATGTTAAAGAGAAGTGATATGCGTTAGAAGAAGAAATATTGGTCTGGTAATTTAATTATCGAAAATAAGTTAAGGAATTCAAAATAACATAGATATATTTTTTATATTTAAATTTTGAATTTAATTTTAGATAACTTGTCTTGCACCAGATGTCATCGTGGTTAAATTTAATCATGCTTTTGTATTGCAAAAGTTGGCAACACAAATTTTGAAAAATGATAAATCTACATTAGAAATGGTTGTAGGGGCAGTGGACGATTTGAAGATTGCTGAAAAGTAAGGATATTTCCTTCATTCTATTTAAGTTATGGAATTTTCGAATTTTTTCTAATATAAATTGAATTTGCCAGCATTATTTCCATTTTTCTCTTCTTTTATGCTTAATTAATCTGTTGAATTTCGCAGAATATTCAATTTTATATCAAATTGTAAAGATGAATTAATGGGACAAGCGCGGTTAGTAAGTCGTACAGCATCTGCAGCAGAAGCTCGTGCATGCAGTGATCTACTTAAGCAGGCTCAGACATATCTTCAACGAGCTAAGGTCGGGTTCATTTTCATTCGTCTAGATTTTTTAAATTCTTTCAGTGAAATACTCATGTAAAATAATACATGTAAAATGTCGATATTCTATTTGATATATCACAGTTTTAAGTATAGAACGATTTGTCTTTTAAATCTGCCTATAGCAAATTCTCCATTTTCTTACATTAAAGGCGCAAGATGAAGAAGATCAAAGATTGCGTCAGAGGCAGGAAGAAGAAAGGCAAGCATTAAAAAGGAAGCAGGAAGAGGAAATGAAAGAAAGGGAAGAAAAGGCACGACGCGAACTAGAAACGTTAAAACAAATGCGGCAAGAATTTGTGGAAAAAACTAAAGAAATACTTCGTCTTCCTGCAGTGAGTTAGTTTGAATCACTATTCAAAAATACAAAGAATTCAAGATGATCAGATTAGATGATATATCTTATGAGTTCAATATAAGGTTTAAAAGAAGCATGGGGCAGTTAAAATCGTCTTTATTTATTATTACGGTTTTTTAAATGAAAGTTTTTTGATTGGAGAATAAAAATGGAGGATACTGTACAATTTATATGATTGAGGTTGTGGAACCGAAGCGACCACGTGGAACTGGAAGTACTCGTAGACGAAAAGATCGTGGTGATGGTGATGACTTTGTTAATGATGGTAGCGATTTGGGAGATTGGGTTGAAGGAGGAGAAACACGAAAGAAAAAGGTTTTTTCGTTATATAAATTTTTCATGAAATCTTGATCTGATTTTTCCCATTTTTAGAGCAGTGATCGAAAGAAAATGCGAAGGAAGCATCGCGAAATGCGAGAGCAGTCTAGCGCTGAGAGTGAAGGAGAAGCTAATGATGAGCGAAAACAAAGGAAGGAACAGAGGACTAAAAAAAGGAGAAGAAATGAACAAAAACGAGAATTTGAACTCAGCAATAAACAAAAATCTAAAAGTTCGTTTTAAATATATCGGTGTAGGTTGGAAACAGCCATTCAATCTTTCTTGATATTTTTCCTATTGAGAGGATAGCGACCAATTTCTTTTGCGCTTTTTGCAGTTAAAAGTCGGGAATTTTTGCCTTCTGATGTTGATAGTTCCGATGAGGATGATGTAAAAGTATCCGATGCTGCTAAAGAAGAATCAAGTGACGGTGGATTTCTTGATGCACAACAGCAAGAACGCGGTTCTGGTGATATTACGACTGATAATTCCATTCGTCATTCATCTTCCAATGAAGACGAAGAAGAGTAAGTTTTACATTTACATTTTTACATTTTTCATTATTGATATAATTGCAATAGATTCTTTTGGCCACATTCGGTTCAATTTTCAGGATGCCTCAGAGGCAGCATTCGAGCAATGTCAGTGAAAATGAACAAGATTCAGAGGATGATCGTGCTCGTTCTTCAAGTGAAAGTGATGATAATAGATCGCCAGTCACAACGAAGAAAAGACGAGTCATTTCCTCTGATGAGGATGATTAAACCTTGTAGAACTTCGTTGATTTTTTTAATTTCTAAAGATCTGGTGTTTATACAGCATAAGAGATTGTAAATGCTTAATTCATTACTCACAGTTTATCATGTAAAAATATCTCGCAAACCTCATTGATCATTTCTTTTTCTTTTCCTAATGATTTTAATTTATTTCTTTAAGTCTTTATTTAAATACAAAAAAAAAAAACATTTCAAATTGTTTGCTTGTCACAAAATAGTCAAAAATAAATGTATAAGTCCGAATATTACCAAATAATAGGATTAAAACACAGGGCCAAATTAATTTATAAAGGACTAAAAACAAAGGAATAATAATGAGATCACCTCAACCTCGTTACATTTTCCATTTAAAGCAAAACAATAGATCTTTTTCTTCGACTCAACTATCCGACCAACCATTTTTTTTAATTTTCGGAGAATTTAAAAAACTTATTGATTTCATTGATTAATTCAATTTCAAAGGCCAATTTTATAAATTAAAGAAAAAGATCTTTTAAATTATACAAAATTAAAAATTATATACAAAAAATTATTCCAGATATTTATCAAAATTATTTATTAATTAAATTTATTAATTAAATAATGATGTAATTAAATAAATTATGCATTTGATCTGATTTGTTTACGCCATTTGCTTCGACGATTTTGAAACCAAACTCGTACTTGAGCTTCAGTTAATCCGAGACGTTCGGCGAGTAATTCACGTTCTGGAATAATTGAGAACAATTGGATTATTATTATTAAATATTTATTAAATATTATTTGTTATTATTAAAGAAAACTTCTATAATATAATCTGGATTCTCTGTCAGTTCGTCGCAATAAACAAGATTTAATTTATACTTAAAAGATTTTGTGTGGTTATTTTAAAATATAAATATATAAAAAATGTTCAAAATATTATAATTTTAGGTTAAATTTAAATCCAACAAGAACTAATGGGCTAAAATTATTAAAACCTATGTGTAAAACCAACTAAGGACTCATGATTTCTTTATTCATAATATTAATTTCTGGAATAAATTGTCGAACGACATAGCTTGTGCGCCATCCCATCTCTATCTTTAAAAAAAGATTAGATAATATCATTTATGATATTATTTAAAAAATTCGCATAATGCAGGAAGTGTGAAATCGCGATTTTTACCATCCGATTATAGTTATTTCGATTTGTAGTATAATTTATTATTTTGCAATATCCTCTTTATTTCATCTTAAATTGTTTATTTTATTTTAATATTATTATTTTTTGTTATTTTATTTGTCATTAATTCTTATTATTTGTTATTTTAACTGATATTAATACAAGCACATGGCGTTTGCGCCTTGCTTGGCTGGTTTTTAATAAATAAATAAATAAATTATCAAATATTTTATACGACTTGGTATGGCTTTGTCGTTTTTATTTCAGTCTAATTTTTCAATAAAATACGATATTATTTTGAACTGATAGATAGATTTATTCCTACGATGAGTGAAATGATCTCCGACTAACCTGTTCCTACCATATATTGTTGCTCTTCGAAGGCTTTCTCAAGAACACGAGTTTGTGAAGTACCATAGATAGTTCGTTGTTTTCGTCCATGAATATTGCGTTCTTCTTGTGTTTTAAACATAAATTGTCGACGATCAACAGAAGAAGGAATAGAAGAACGTTTAGTTTGATTTTGATTTTTAAGTAGTCGATTAATTGAAAAATCTGAAAATGATTTTCGACTTTCCGAATTTATTGAAATCTCCTCTTCGTTTTGCGTTGAACTACAAAGGCGTTCGGATGCGAATATTTGACGATTGTTGTTGTTGTTACATTTTAGATTATCTATAATAGTGCTGGCTGCTTGTAATGTTTCGAAGCCAATACCATTAGCATCATGATTAAATATCGAATTTATTCGTTCCGTTGTTGTTGCTGTTGTTGTTGTTGTTGTTGGTAGAATAAGAGGTGAAAAATTATCAAATGCAGTTGTCGTTGTTGTTGTTGTTGTAATATTTTGAAATGGTGATTTGATTGGATCCTTAATTGTTGTTAATTCCGATAAAACTTTAAATGTTGTTGTTGTTGTTGGATTAATATTTGCATCATTTAAAATAGGAAATTGTGTAGTGAATGGAAATGGTTTACCGTTTAAGATCATACATGAGGTATCGAGTAATGATGAAAGTAAAGACATTGATGTTGGTAAAATACCAAAATTTTCGTTTAATATCAATGATGATCGATTTTGTATAAAATTATTGTTTGAATTTGGCTGATACCTCGGATAAAGTGAACGTGTAGTGCTCATTTTAAGCGATTATCTATAAAAAATATTTATTTATTTCGATTTTTAATTTTATGAAAAACCAAAAAAAAAACGATAGATAAAATGCGATGATTTAAAAAAAAAAAATTTTTTTTTTTTGATAAATTTAAAATTTATTCAGCCAATGCTTTTTGTATTATGCAATTGGTTTTGAATAATATTTCATATTACTCAAAAGTTGCCTCGTTTCCTTTGATTGCATTGAGGATTTAGCCAAAAAATCGGTTTTGTATGAGTTTTTGGAAAATGTAACGTAAAAAAAAAAACGATAGATAAGATGTGATGATTTAAAAAAAAAAAATTTTTTGATAAAAAATATAAATAAAAAATTTAAAATTCTATTTAAAAATTTTTTCTAATTTTCTAATTTTTATCGCATAAAAATATTGCAAAGCTTCACTATTAACACAAACTAGTGTGAAATTTGTCTTTCGAAAATACTAGAACAGATAGATATTTTTTCTCGTAAACCAATGGTACTTCTATAAATTTTTCTAGTTTAATAAGATAAAAATGCTCCTAGAAAAAACGCTCAGAGAAAAAAAATATTAATATTTCTAAATTTGCATTTGAATTTCATTTTTTAATAATAAATTTGCTATTAGAATTAATTATAATGCATTAGATTAATTATAATTTTAGTGAGTAAAATCATTAATTTTATCGGCTATGGATGTTAGTAAAGAAAGATTTTATGTAATAATTATGGCTTAAAAAGCGCAAATTTCGAGATGAAGCAATTTTTTTTTTTCTAAAGACAGTTCTATATTAATTAATTATTTATTTATCGATTTGTATAAATAAAAAGTTATTTTAAGCATATCTCGAATTTCATACTCATGAAAAACGATATCATTATAATAGGTGCTATAGTGAGCAAAATTAGAGCATACTGGAACAGCTATCATCATTCTTCAACTTTTTATCAATCACATTAATTTTTCCTTATCACTAAATAGTCGTTTTTTATTATTATTATAAATAATATTAGAAGATAAGTAAAGAATTTATAAATTAGTAATAAATGATGAAATAAAGAATTTATAATTGGAAATAAATAGAAATAAAATAAATGAATAAATAAAAATTATTAAAAAATTTAAATAAATAAATAAATCAAAAAATATAAAAATATAAATAAAAATTATCGAAATAAAAGATTGCCTTTAATAATATGTGAAAAAATTGATATGATTCTTCCGCTATATAGCCAAGTTAAGCTATTCAACAAAGTAATTAATTTTAATTGTAATTGGCATTGACATTTTAATTGTAATTTCATTCCTTTAACGCAATTATATTCATTCGATAAATTTTTTATAATTATTATTTTATTAAGGCAAACCATCTGTTAATGAACGAATTGAACAGCAAATGAATGGAATGAAACGAAACGAACGAATGAACGGGCGAACGAGCAGACTAACCAACCGATCGACCAATATTTCGAGAAATTTATATTTAAATGGCTAAAAATTCTATTAATAATAATAATAATATAATGATAATATAATGATAATAATAAATAACAGATTGTTCATGCAATAATAATTCGCATGCATTCCTATTTCGTTCGATTAGTGTTAACAATTAATGTTGATTAGCGATTAGAAAAACTCTTCAAAATTAGTTAATTGATTACAGTCGTCCTTATCGTTCGTCACTGCCGTTCTTACTGTTGTTGAATTTCAAGAAAGAAGAAATGCAAATTTATGGAAAAAATAACAATTTTGCAAAATATTCTAAATTTTTATTCAGTATTTAGAGAATTATTTAGCCATTATAACCATGCAAAATGTTTTTTTTGCAAAATCACTCACTAACTTCTAATTTAGTTTTTGGCTCGATTGATTTTATTGAAGCGGAGAAATTTCGCCAAGAATTAATTGGTAATAGAAATTGTTAACATAATTTTGAAAGGCAAATTTATTCTTACTGGAAGTAGAATCCTTCAACAATGGTACTTTGAAACGATAGGAACAAGTCAACGAGCCACTCATAAAATTTATTTAACTCAGTAATTACCGCTAAATTATCAAAATTATGGTTAAATTATCAAAATTATCAAAAATCCAGAAATTAAAAAATAGCTTTGGCGCATTTCTCGCTATTTCTCGACATTCAAATTGTACTAAATCAACGATTCCGAGACTTATGGATTTGAAGATAAGAAATTTGAACGCAAGAAAAAGAATTCATTTATTTGTTGAAATGTATCACAAAATACGGTAATAACTATAATTTGTCACCAATAGAAAAACACGCATAATTTCATAAATTATTCTTTTCTAATTATATTCCCTTAAATACTTTATTGTTATTTAATTAAAAACTTTCATAGCGAAGCAAAAAATTTCTTATATAAATGATAAAACGAAACGAACCCCTCCCTCCCCTTACACCACCACTTCTCCACCATTCCTCTCCCCACCCCATCCCAAGCTCAACCCCAGCCCGTTCCCCTCTCATATAGGCATATATAATATGAAAATTAATGGATTTTAAAATTTAGAACCATAAACGAATAAACGAAAAATGTTGAACATAGAATAGAATCGAGCGAAAATATCTCGTGATAAATATGCAAGAAAAAGTAACAATATCGTATGAATGCGTTTCATGATTGCTAATTAAACAAACCATCAGATAATATATAATATAAATATGAGAATAATCGAACTAATAAGTAAATCAACGCTTATAATTTCTATTGAAAAAAAGTTAATTAACAGCTAATTAGGCATTAAAGTGATAATTATTATTTGAAAATTTTCGAAAATACTATTTCAAACTAAGACAAATCGAAAATTGACATTTTTAATAAATAAATGAATAAATAATTAGAAAATAGGTTAATTTAAAAATGGTTAATTTTCGACTTCGGATTTTCATTGCACGGATAAAACGAAAATTATGTTTCCCTTATAATATTTCCATTTATTTTTGTCATATAATTTTGGTCAATAAACTCATTTCAAATAATTAATTATCTACGATTTTACTCTTTCGCTCTTTCTTATTATTATTGTTATTACTGTTATTATTATCATTATTATTATTATCAATATTTTTATTAATATTATTATCAATATTTCTGTTGATATTATTATCAATATTATTATTACTATTATTAACACAGTTTTTATTAGTATTATTTTATATTAATCATTGTTAATTGGTATTAATTATTAATTATTATTATTAATAATATTATTATCGTAATCATTTTTTTATCATTTTATAATCATTTTTTTTAAAATAATATATAAACAAATAAATTTTAATCATTTCTTCATTTTTTATATTCTTTAATAATTAATAATTAATTAATAATTAATATGCTTTAACTAAGAGTTGCTAATGCCTTGTCGTTATAGCCAACGAAATAGAAAGCCCAATAAATAATATTAAATGTAATAATATTAAATGTTACGAATTATTAGAAGACGAAAAACTAATAGCTTATAAGTCTATAACTTACTAATAAAAATTAATAACGATTAAATCCATAAAATTATTGAAATAAATGATAAAAAAATCGCCATTTAAGAGGTTTCTTGTTAATAATACAATTACGAAATTGTTTAAGGCGATTTCCCATCGAAACATTTTATATTAATATTTGCACTAATTGATGACGACCTTTTTTTAACGAAATCACTAAGCAAGACAATTACGTTTAAATGAATTATACTTCTATTATTAAGGAATATTTCTTAAAAAAATAATATATTAAAGAGATAATAAAATATACTTAAAATGATAAAATGATAAAATCATAAATAATCCCAGATAATAATTTAAAATAGTACTAGTAATTTAATTGTTTTTTTCGATTTTTTTTAACGGAGTTTTCATCAATTCAGATTAGTTTCTTATGAATTAACGGAGAAATTTTTGCTCAGCTTGTCGTTTAGCGATAGAAATGAGTAACAGTGCACTTTTGAATTTTTATAGATTTTACAGATTTTTCCTGCAAGAACTAGAACCACAGCAGTGGAAATATGTCGATAATATCGAAGTAGCAATATCCGACGAAACTATTCTTATTCAAAATCTTTTTCTATATTCGCCACTTATAAATTTTAAATATTTAAATATAAATATAAAATATATAAAATATAAAATAAAATAAATAATCGTATGTTTATGTTTAAATAACATAGAAAGTGCAAAATAAAAAATATTTTAAAATTCAAATTCAAAAAATAAAAAATTTTGCAAAAAACAAAAAAGGACAAAAATTTTGGATTTGGCTAAAGATTGGATTTGTTGAGAAAAAAAAAAATTAATCATCTTCATAAAATAAAAATTTTTTTGAATAATTTTCAATAAAAACGAATTCAAATTTTTTTCAAATAGTAAATTTTTTTTTTATTAAAATTGCTAACAAAATATTCGAAAAAATAAAAAAATAAACTTTGAAATTGCATCGATTTCTCGTGCAATCTAACATTTTTCTGGAAGACACTCGAAGGATCTAATTTTTTTTCAAATCATAAATGATGGATATAGAAATTATTAATTGAAAATCTAACTAAATATTAATTTCCTGAAAACCAATGAAGCTTAAGAATTTAATCATGGGAAATTAATTCGTCAATTAATCACATAAAAGAATTAGTTTGAACTCAGGAAAAAAAAAGGAAATAATTTTGAAAAATTCGCTGAGCAAATAAATCTCTTTTTTTCTTTTTTTTTAAAAAACTATTTAAAGTAATCACGATATTACTTTAAATCTTATTAGTTATTTGAAATTTTTATAAATTGTTAATTAGTAGCTTAGCTTAATCGCCTCACTTTAGTCAAAATTTCAACATGCAATATTTTTTTCTATACAAATTACCGATTTTCATCTATTAATGATAAAATTAATGATAAATGATAAAGTTCAAAGTTGGAACTTAAAAAATTTGCTAAATTATTCACAAATCTTAGCTTTATTTTTATTATTGAACACTTATTTTGCCGTCAAAAATTTA